AAAACAAACAGATTAATCCTAGAGAGGGTTAAACCAGGCTGCTCCTTGGAGGCAAGGATTCTGGGGCTTCGCCTGACATACTTTGGACATGTTGTAAGGACAGACAGGTCTTTAGAGAGGGACATCATGCTGGGTAGGGTAGAGGGACAGCATAAGAGGGGAAGACACTCTATGAGGTGGATTGATTCAGTGACTGGGGTAATCGGGATGAGTGTGTCAGAGGCAATGAGATTGGCACGGGATAGAGGACGGTTTAGGGCTGTTGTACATAGATAGGGTTGCTATGAGTCGCAAACGACTCGACGGCACATAACAACAAACAACATATTGAATGGATGTTCAAAGATTATTCAACAACATTTTAAAAACAGAACATTTTCGAACACTAAGTTGCAGCTACAGATGTCACGCGCATTGCTGCAGACCCTGAACACACCTCTGTAAGACTCTGAGCAGTTTTCTACTCTTGATGGGGTATTTCTTCTGAAGGTTGAGAAACGCGGCGTGCACGCCCTTATCCAGGAGGCTGCTAAACGTGGTGTGGTTTTCAGGCAGTTGTAGCAGAGAGCGCCAAATAAACATTCTGAAATGAAAACACAATTTCAGCAAAAACAAACAAAACAGCCTTTCCTGTAAAAGTGCCATAGCGCGTAAGAAAGAAAAGTTTACCTGTATTTTGTTGGGTATTCACCATAGCCTTTTAATAGGACTTGCAGACGTTTTCTGTTTAGGCCATCTGGCAACTCATTCTATAAGGAAGATCATATCAATCAATTACATATTCATAAAACAAAAAAAGATGACACGGGTGTTTCAGCTAAAGAATATAAGCAATATGTCTACATCCTGGGGCCCACAGGCATGCTTGTTCCCTAAGAATTCATTCACACACACACGTACACACATATACACACACATACACATATACACACATACACACAGAGCAAAGAAGCTAAGGTTTTATGATATAGACCTTAGACTAAGACTTTGCCAGACTTTCTGTAAAGGGCCCGTTACTAAGTATTTCAGATTTTGTAGCCCAAAAGGAAAAACCAAGGATTTTAATTTATATATATTTGCATGTTGTTATTGTTATGTACCATCGAACTGCTTGTGACTCACAGCGACCCTATTACAACAGCTCTGAAGCCTGCCCTATCCTGAGGGAGTCTCACTTAACCTGACACACCTCCTCCATTGCTCATTACTCGGTCAATCAATCTCATCTAGGGTCTTCCTCCCATGCACTCTCCCTCCACCATTCCAAGCATGATGGCTTTCTCCAAGGACTGGTCCCTTCTGGCCATGTGTCCCAAGTATGTGAGACTGAGCTTTAAGATCCTTGTCTCCAAGGAGAAGCTTGGTTTCATCTTCTCCATCATGGACCTTTTGCAGTTCATGCTATGTTCAATCTCTTCTCTAGCACCACAAGTCAAAGGCACTGATTCTTCGTCTGTCATCCTTAGTCACTGTCCAGCTCTCTGATGCATAGTGAGTAACTGCCAAGACCACAGTCTGGATCGGGTACATCTTAATCCCTAAACTGATATCATTACTCTTTAGCACCTTGGAGAAGTTCCTGACAGCAGATTTCCCTAATGTAACTTGTCTTTTCATTTCCTGACTGTTGGTGCCAAGAGTGTTAATTGTGGACCCAAGCAAGCTGAAATTGTTAACAACCTCAATTTCTTCTCCATCTATAATGGTGCTGCCAATTGGCCCAGAGGTGAGAATCTTTGTTTATAACAACTGACCCAGCTATTCTACTGCTTGGAATATACCCTGAGAAAATAAGAACTGAAGCACAAATAGAAACTTTTACACCAATGTGCATAGCAGCATTATCCACCATCACAAGAACATGGAAACAGCCCAAATGTCCAACCACAATGGAATGGAATGACAACTTATGGTACATTCACACAATGGAATACTATGCAGCACACAGGAGCAATGATTTTGTAAATTACTACCTAACATGGGAAGAACTGGAGAGCATTAAGCTGAGTGAACTAACTCAATCTCATAAAAACAAATACTGCATAAAACCATTATTGTAAACAAGCATGAGGATGCAGGTGGGGGGGAGCAGAGGGGTGAGGATGGATGGGGGTGGGTGTATGCTTAATCATAGGGTCGCACAATATGATTGGTGGGACAGTGGTGGAAAAATGTTAAAAAACCCCACTCTTGAATGATGTGGCTGAGACAACACCATTTTCTGCTTATTGTCAACTTTCCAATGTGGTTGTAAGAATCCTAGTAGTTATGTCACTACTTTGCAGACAGGCTCAGACTTTACCCTGAGGGGAATGTGAGTAATCCAAAAAGGAGTATCTAAGACACTAACACAGAGTTATCAAAAATCCAAATGACCCTACAGTCAAGCTGAGAACCAACCAGACCTTTCGTTCTCACAGCTTCTGATCAACCACCTTTTCCGGTCTTTTACTTCTTTACTCTTAAACATTACCGAACAATTGTTATTAGATCATTAGACATTTGAGGAAAGCATTTAAAACAAACTAGAAAAAGCAATCAGAGAACAAAAAGACATTGGTGAACAAAGAAAACATCATCAACCTCCTCAGAAAGACAATATGAAACAAGAACAGGAGGTCATAAAAAAGGAATATTAAAAAAATACAAAGGCCTTGAAATTGAAAATCATGAGAGCAAAACAAATTATTCAAGAAAAGATTCCTCAGAATTGAGAGACACAAGCTACCCCACTTAACAGATGAAAATAAACTCATACAAAAGCACATCACTGGGTTTTAGAACACGAGAGACAAAAGGATCTTCTAAGCAGAGAAACAAAAACAATGTCTAACTTCTCAACAGTCACACCAGAAGCTAAACAACAGCGCAGTACTATCTTCTAAATTCTGACAGAAAATGATCCCTACTCTAGAATTTGAGGGCAAGCTTCTGATCTGTTGTTCACAGGGTCGCTGGGAGTTGTATTCGACTTTACAGCATGTGACATCTTTCAAGTATGATGGGACGTACACAAAGAGGATTTTTGGACCTGCAAAGTTTTGAAACAAAAAAATTATCTCATACCTTTTCTCAAGAGCGATGTTTCTTTAAGACAAAAGTGGGATCAAAAAGTTTGATTTTTTAAAAAAAATTCAGGAGAGGGAAAGGTTAGAATGACATATAAACCATACGACTTGTCTCCAGCAGAGTTGTGACAGAGACAAATTTAACTGTGGTGTGTTCTCACCTCTTTATTTTCAAAATTACCAGACAGGTCTTGCTTTAATATTCTCGTTTGAATTTTGCTCTCCTTTAATTTTGTTGGCCGCTGTACCCTTCCAGATGTTATGCTCATCTTAAGATCACTGGAGTTCAGTTTGTTCTTAGGCAAATCTTCAATCACTTTCACTAAAGGAGGAGGTGGCTAAGAAAGAGAGAGAAAAATCCACTGGTGACATTAACAAGAATTTTTAAAATGATGCTTTGATCAATTAACACACAGGGGAGAAAAAGTACTAGCAAAATGGCCAAGAGCTTCCTTGTTTACTAACAAACCTGTATGAATTCCTGCCAAAGTAACGTCAGTAAATATAAATAAGAAACATGATTAAATAATAGAAATAATCAGAATTTAATTATTCCATTAAAACTGACTTAAATTTATAGGATGACAAATAGTTTTTATAACTTAGTTGATAATATTAGCAAAACATTGATAAGCTACAATAGGAAAGGCAGGAGTTGGCCTTTTAGAAATTGAAAGAACAACTTTAGTATTTATTCTTTAAGCTCAACTGAAATTTCTCTCAGATGAAACCATCACCTGCCCTTGGCTAAAGTTCTGCAATCTACGTAAAGATAGCTCCCAGCCCATCACTATATCAATCGCTGGACAGGCCTTTCAGAGAGCAAAGTTTAGAACCCAAAGCCACATTTTTTATGAGACCTATCAAACAAAATAAAAATTCCATTTCAATATACTTGAGTTAAAATAATTCACAAAAACGTTTTCTCCATGAATAATGCTCTTTGAAATCATTATAGTCCTTGAAATTAAAACGTTCTTTGAAATCCTAAAATCCTTGTTCAAAGGAAATGAACAGACAACGTAACTCAGGCTTTGTAAATTCTAAATACAATTAAAGTACAATGATCCAAGGGAGCGCTGGTGACCCAGTGGCAAGAAGCTAAACTGCAATCCCAGAGGTATGCAGTTCAAATCCACCAGAGAGATGCCCTGCTGGAGAAGGAGGGGCAATCTCCTCCTGTACCAGTCAGATCCGATCTGACGGTACACACACACAAAATAATAAAATTTAAAAAAAAAAGTACAATGATCCCTTATTCTGTGATTTGTTCTCAGCTTTTCACCTATGAAATGGAATTAATAGTGGCCAGACTTATGAATACCACCCATCTTTATTACCCTTCAATATCTTTTCTCTTACCTCAACTCATTCATGTAATCTTTATTAAAACTTCTATTCTAATGCCTTGATTGAGTACCACATTCTATTACGAAGAACAATTTTCCAAAAATCAGAGTGTGAGATTTAACCTCATTTTTGTAATATTAAAATGCTAACATATAAGGACTGGTTACTTTATTAGGAAAACACTAGAAATTCTCTAGTGGCATGAAACAGTCCTTGGATGTAAGAGACACAGATGAGCTAAATTTTAAAGAATATGACCCTGGCCACTCAGGTAGCCTAGGACAATAAAGATACTGATGGTGCAGACAGTGTAAAAATTATTCTGCTTTAGGTGTCAACTTTTCTATTCACTACAATATGAGCTCTATATTCTGAACAAACAGCAGAGAGGAAATCAAGGACTCACTCTTACTTGATTTTTCTTTGCTCTCTTTCCTCTATTAACAGGGCTTAACTAGTTACGTACAGCAAACTATTCAGACTGAAAACTATCTCGTGAAGAGAAAATAGTAATAGAGTATTACATTTTCTTAAATTTATAAGACCAAAGTCTCACATGTTTAAAGAAAATTTTAAAGAGAATATGGAACAAGGAATATTACTGCTCAAGTCAGATGAATCTTGGTTCAAACAGAGAATATCAGAAAGATGTTTACTTGTATTTTACTGGCTAGGAAAAAGCAATTGACTGGGTGGATCACAGCATATTGTGAATAACAATTCAAAGAATGGGAATGCCAGAACATTTAGCTGTGCTCATGTGAACAAGGGGTAGTCCTGTGATCAGAACAAGGGGATGCTATATGGTTTAAAACTGGAAAAGGTGTGTGCCAGAGTTGTATCTTGTACTATATTTATCCAGTATATATGCTGAATAAATAATCTGGAAACTGGACTACAGAAGAATAGAAAACCAACAACCTGCGATATGCAGACAGTACAACCTTGCTTGCTAGAAGCAAACACCACTCAAAGCTCTTACTGATAAAGCTCAAAATATGGATTAAAACTCAGTTTAAAACAAAAAAATCTTCACATATAATAAACCAATAAGCAACAATATCCTTGATGTTGTCACAGATTTATTTAATTGGATCCACGGTCAGTGCTCATGGAAGTCAGGAAATCATACGACATGTTTAGTGCACTGGCCAGCTCTGTTTGCGTATTTCTACTGCAAAGGCCCTCTTTAACATGTTAAAAAGCTAAGATGCTACTTTGAAGACTAAAGGGTGTCTGACTCACGTCGTGGTATTTGCCATCTCCTCATGCAAATGAAAGCCAGACAATGAAGAAGGACAAGCACACAAGAACTCATGTCCGTGAATTATGTGGTTGGTTAAAAACACGGACAACACTACACGGACTATCAGAAGAATGAACAGCTCTGCCTTAGAAGATGTAAAAGGCTCCTTGGAAGCAAAGATGGAGAGATTTCATCTCACATGCTTGAACATGTCATCGTGTCTGGTAAAGCGGAGGGTCAGTGAGAAGAGGGAGACCCCCGATGAGATGGGCTGACACAGTGATGGGAACAATGGGCGCAAACAGCAACAGCTGTGAGGACCATGCAGGGCGGGGTGGTCCTTCCTCAACACCCGTAAGGAAGCTGAACTGAACCAATAAAACAGTGTCTGACAACATGATGCACACATGTGCCTCAACAGAAAAGATTAGAGGAGTAAATATTTCAATGCCATCTGAGCATGGGGAGACTAAGAGGGATTTTAGTTAATACTTACTTATCTATGTTTTTCTTTTTTTTTTCTCCCAGGATCTCTGCATTGAGACACATATTACTTATATGAGATTAAAAGGACAATAAATAAGTGGCACACAATAGGAAAAAAAAAGCATTAAGAATCAGAACACCAGGACCTGCTTAGCTGTGTAATTAGGCTGAGGTAAGAGCTTTGTACTCAGTTAAAATTCCTCCCAAAGGCTACCATGACCCACCTCCACCCTAGGAAGGTTCCACAATCAGACTTGGCAAGGAGATCAGTGAATTCCAGGTAACCACAGAAGAGGGACGAGGAGTGCACTTCTGATGAAGTAATGAGCATGCTAATAGATGCAAAAATGAGGATGACATCGATAGGGATAGGGTACAATGCGGGATGTTACAGGCAAGGAGGAACCGGGTAGATGGACAGAACAGACACCATTCGAGGGACTTTCAGAATCAAGTAGAAGAATCTGAACTCAATGCAACAGGCAGAAGGGGGAGGAAGCCACCGCAGCAGCAGCAGCGGCGCTGTTTTAGAAATGAGGACGAGACCATTATTCCAGAAAAACAGGAAAGAGAGGAGCTGATGAGCGGGCGAAGCGCTGTGTTTGTAGATTTTGTTTAAATTACTGCTTTCCAGAGTAGTTCCTGGGGGTCAGTCCAAGGAGGGCTGGCAAAGGGATGCAGACAGTTCAAATTCCAGAAAAAGGGTGACTGATGTTGGGGACTCAAGAGACAGGAGCAGTTCGAGAGCTGCGTGATTTCTAGACCAGAAGACAGAGTATGACAGAAACAAACACGTTGTAACTGAAAGTCTCTTTGCGGAAGGAGGTCAGGAGTGGGACCCTGAGAAGGACAAGGACCTTATGCTGATATGTCCTTTATGACAGTAGCCCCTGAAGCAAAAAAGAAGAAATCAAGGTTAGAGACACACTTTCAGAGGAGGAGCAGAAAGACTAGCCAGAGGACGGTTAGGTTCCCAGGAACTGAAAAGGGCAAGGATTTGATTATTGATGCTGCAGTCTGTGAATGTTCTTAAAAACTGATACTATTTACTTGATAACATACCTTATTTATTTCCTGGGTTAAAGCCTGAACTGAATATATGTTCAGACTTCCATTTTCCATGATGGATGCAATGTACCGGCCATGTGGGCTGATCACTGATGAGCTGATTCCCTCTTCAAGGCTCCCAATCTCAAAGAGGAGTTTACAAGTCTGTATGTTGATAAATCTCATAATACCATCTTGACTTAGCACTCCAAGAACCTAAGAGTAAAGAGAAATAATACATAAAAATAAATATGAAAAGCAAATCTTTATAAGCCAAACTATAAACACACACACATACATCATTCATACATACATACATATAGGTGTTCTGTTCTTTGTTTTGAAGGAGTCCATCAGAGGATTTTCATGAAGCTGCATTTTAAAATCCCTTTAAGGAGCCCTGGGACATAGTATATTATGACCTGGGCTATTTATCTTAATGGTGTGCAGTTCTAATCCACTATCATAAGGGAGGAAGACAGGCAGTCTACCTTTCTAAAGATTTATAGCCTCAGAAACCCAACAGAGTCACCATAAGCTGGTGGCACCAGCAGGAGGTTTAATAAAAGTTCTAAAGAAGTCCTATGGGTAAAAGCATTCTATTGTTAATCAGAAGGTCAGTGGTTTGAACCCCCAACTGCTTCACGGGAGAAAGACAAGGCAATGTGCCTCTGTAGAGATTTGCAGCCTTGGGGTTCCAACAGGCAGCTCTACTCTTGGCTACAGGGTCGCTGGGGGTCAGTAATGGCTCAATGGCAGTGGGTTCTGGTTTTAATATTGGTCTTGGCGACCTGCTTTGTTCAGACCAGAAAAGCCTGGCTCTGAAACCTGCCACTGTTTCAACTCGGAACTCTAGTCTCACAGCCCAGATGTATGGAATGCCGTGCGCAAAAAGGTCTCTCACAGAAAAGGACTGAGAATAGGTTACATGCTCAGGAACAGGACTGGTCTGAACACAAACACTGTACTGCTATAAAAACAAAAATATCTGTATTAACATGGAGAAAAATTTAGTAAAGAAAGCAAAGTACAATACAACAGCTTTACTGGGGGTTAGTAGGCAAATGGGAGACAGGAGTGGCTTTTAACTGCATGGATTTTTCTATTTTTTTAAGGTTTCCAACTATTTGACTGTGTCACCAGTTTAAAACCTTTAAAAATAAGTGGTAATACATACATTTGCATGTAAACATACATGTTGTTGTAGAGTACTGTTAGGTCAGAACTGACCCATAAGTGTCCCTCCAGCGGGTATTCATAGGCAGTAAATTGCAGGGGAGGAGACTGTCCATTCTTCTCCCACAGAGCAGCTGGGAGATTCAAACCATGGACCTCTGTGTTGGCTGCACAATACCTAAGCACTAAGCCACCAGAGTCAGTCCCAGCTCAATGGTACACAACAACAATAAACATACACAGCACGTATGTAATACTTGGTTGAATCGGGGATCCATGAGAGTCAATTTAAAAGACCCTCAACTGGTGGACAGGCGCACTGGCCACGACAAGGGCCTCAGTCACAGCGGTGACTGTGGGGGTGGCGCTGGACAACACTGTGCTCTCTGCTGGGGGTAGCTGAACAACCACCATAAGGAAGTTAAAGTCTAACTTACTTAATATTGAATGGGGGGGGGATAAAAGAGTTGAGGATGGAGGTGGGGGCAGTCCTTCCCCGGTGAAAGGAAGAACCTTGTAAACAAAGCTAACAAAAATGCAGATCTGTTGCCTGTTAGTCAATTCTCACTTGTTAAGACCCTCCAGGACAGAGCTGAGCTGCTACACATAATTTCCAAGGCTGAATCCTTAAAGGGGCATGGGGGGTGGAGGGGGAAGAACGTCTCGTCTTCCTTTCATGCAGTGGCGGGAGGGTTTGATTAGCATCTGAGCCCTGAGAACGGCTCTACCAGGGTTCCACTTTTTTTTTAACAATTTTAATGAACATTTACAGAGAATTTGGATTTCCATTCATTCATTGCTGCACTTCTCTACCCGCCCAGCCCTCTCCCCCAGCCCCCGAGTTTGCTCCTCTCTTTCAAAAGCAAAATAAACACTCCCTCCCTGGTACACAATCCCCCCCCCGCCCCCCTCCCACCGCCTCAAGTACATTCTACTATGCAACCTTAATTGTGGACTCTTGTGATAACCATAATACCCTATCATACATCGCTTTTAAATTATTCAGTCCCTCTTCTGTTTCAGTGCAGTATACACAATTTATCCAGTTTTTCTCAGTCTTTTGTGAGCTAAGATACAAATAAGATGGTTCTCATAGGAGTAGTCGGAAAAACGCAATAAAGTGAGCAAACTTTCTCTTTCCACTTTCATTCCTAACAACAGGGACACTGACAAGGTTTTTAAGCTTCAGTGCTATAATTTGTAAAATATCTCTGCCTAGCTCCAAAAGAATTCTTCCAAGGCTCAAATTAAAAACAAAACAAACCAACATGCTAAAGCACCTTTCAAACCATAAAGTATAATAAATAAAAAAAAAATAGATTGTAAAAGGGTAAATTATCTGTAATACACACAAGATGCTGACACTTTTTTTTTATATTCTAGACTCTTCACAAAGTAATGTATGAATCAGACTCAAAAGCACTGCAACCAAGTCAGAACCAACTAACAGCTGACCTTCAAAACCACAGCTGACCCTTGGCACCACAGCTGACCCTCCAGGAGGCTGCTGAGGCTATAATCACAGGGGAGGAGAGTGTTCTGTTCATCAGTCTCCCTTGGAGACACGGTGGAGTCACAGTTCCAGAGAAGCACTGCCTTTGGGTGAGCAGCACAACGTCCCCCAAGTGATGCCATCAAAGTCCCTGATTGGAGATTCTCTCTCACTGCTGTCCACTAGGAACCAACCCACAGCCTACTCTTCAGAGGGTTTTCTGAGGCTGCAAATTGCCTGGGAAGAGACTGTCCATCTTCTTCCTGCCTTTGGCTTGGCATTATAATTCCCTACAGGCTACAGACCTCTCTAAATACAGGATTAGTAATCTCAAATGCTTTCCATGGGGTACAAGTTAAATTAGGAGAGTTAGAAATGGATGTGATAGTCTTAAAAAGTACAATGTCCTACATTGATATCACCAACCTGATTAGAACCAGCATCAAAATTATCAGGGAGAAATTCTAGGTGGCGGATGGCTCGGACTTTCGTAGGCATCTGGATGATTCTAAAGAGCTGTTTTGCTTCCAAGCACCAGAGGTGAAGGTGATTGGACTTGCCTCCAGCAGCCAGGATCCGACCATCTCTGGAGAAGGAAAAAGGGAGGAAGCCAGTGATGTGCACCAGGATGTTCTGTGAGGACAGACACGTTCTGTATCTACACAGTCCAACAGGGTGACCACAGATCCCTGAGCACTTGAAACATGGCTGGTGCTACCAAAGGATTAATGTTTGATTTGATTTGATTTCTTGGAACTTTAGTCATGTGTGGCTTATGTCCAGTGCACGGGACAGGCCAGGTTCACAATAGATATTCTGCACCTACTGCACCAAGGAGCCTTGAAGCACCGATGTTCGCCTGCCCACTGGAGTCACTAGTTGGTCCTCGGGAGTAAGACGGGGGCAGTGTGATGTGACTCAACTGCTGTGGGTTTACTGCACGAAGGGGCCAGTTTAACAAACATCTCTGCTTAATGATTTGCTTGGGAGCTTTCCAAAGAACCTATTTCAAAGCATAATCACAGCTTTCTATATTTTACACACAGCTGGATTGAACTGGCACAGTACTAATAATATATGAAAAAACAAAGCCCAAACTCTTTTTAGGCTTCAAAGGCTATAAATTGCATGGGAAGAGCGGACCATCTTTCTCCTGCAGAATGGACTGTGGATTCTAAATCCCCCTGTGGGTTAGGAGCTCAACTCCCCATGGACTGCACTACCAAAACTCTCCAATTGATGTTTAAAAGATAAAAAAAAGAAAGAAAAGATTAAAAAAAAAGAAAGAAAAAGTACTGATTTGCAATGTACTCATGTATCCCACAGGGCCTTGTGTAGCGTCTATCGTAAACCAGTTATTATGTCGGTTGCCAGGGATACAGCAATGGACGAGAGCGAGAGCGAGGGAGAGCGAGGAGGAGAGAGAGAGAGGGAGGGAGGGAGGGAGGGAGGGAAGAGAAAGAGGGAGGGAGACCTGATTGACATGTACATGGACCAATCACATGACAAGCCATTGGATTCCGCGCCACTCAGCATTCTGATTGGCCAGTAGAAAACTATTAAGGCGGTCTCACAAGATCTGATGGAGAGTTTGGGTCTTCAATGTGCAATGTAAGGCCTTGGGAGAATTTTAAACAGGAAAGTGGCATGCTCTAACTTAAAAAAGGGCCACTCGATCTGCTATGTAGGGACTGACTTGAGCAAATGCGACTGAGAATCGGGAAGCCAAAGAGGAGGCTCCTAGAATACCCCCTGAGAGAGTCTAAACAGTAACAGAGATGAAAATGGGAAGAGCACACTGTTCTATGTGCATGTTTGACATTTTCCACAATAAAGTTTAAAAGGAAAAAAGAGCGTTCCATAGCCCATATCTAATTTTGAAGAAAGCTTTTTCTCACATGAGAGTGCATAAAAATGTGTAAATTTGAGGGGGGTAAAGAAAAAAGTGCAACAATGAATGAATGAAAATCCAAAATTTCTGTAAATGTTCATTAAAATTAATAAAATAAAATTAAAACAAAACAAAACAAAAAAACCTATAGGTTCTGATCAGCACATATAGGATCAGCTTGGAGCAGAATCCATTTGATGACAGTGGCAATTAACCACTATTAAGTGTGTTTTTAATGTGTGTGCACATGTTATTGGTTCAGTTTTTGTTTACATAAATGGAGAGTGAGAGAGAACAAGAGAGAAAGATTGAAACTTGTTTTAAGTAATTGGATCATGATGTTGTGGGAATTGTCAAGTAGGTCAGGCAACAGGTAGGGGATTCCTACAGTTTTGTGTCCTCAAATCCATATACCAGGTGATAAGGAAGAGTGAAGAGAGAGGAGCTCTGGCAAATTGCCTATTTATAGTCTGCCTGTTTACAGAGTAAATAAAATACCATACAGCCAGTTAAAAAATAAAGAAATAAACTCTTAAATCTCTCAACTGATTCTGATTGATCAGATCAGATTAGATAAGAAAAGAAAAAAATAAACTGAAAAAAAAAAAGGAAGATGTCTCTAGTCATGTCTGAAGTAGCAGGCCAAATTGTTTTTCAAAATATGTTATGAGCCTAATATTTGAATAAAGCTTTTAAAAAATGTGTAAATTTGAATAAAAGCTTTCAGCAGCAGTTCTCAAAGGTGCTCTGTGTTATAAATGCACATTACCTGGTCACAGCAAACACTCTGTATAATACACTGGAGCTCTCGGGCGGAGCCGGCAACTGGTATTTGCAGAAAAGAGTATCACACTCCCAGGCAAAGATGGAATTGTCTTTAAAACAGCTGAGGATGGTATTACTTAAGGGCAGAAAGAAAACCTAAAATGGAAGAAAGCATATGATTAGTCACAAAAAGAAGGTTGTTGATGTGCGCTGTTGAGTCGATGCTGAGAAGATGCTGACCTCCATCAGCCTTACTGGGCAGAGGGGTGACTGGCCCATGGGCTTCCACACAGCCGTCTACATGGAATGGACTGTCACAGAGCAGCTGGTGGGTGTACATCTAAAACTATACCGTTAGTTCTTTTTTCAAAATCACTTCTTTCTTAAGATACAAAATTGTAACTGAAATCACCTAAAATTTTCTAGTAAGATCTTTCAGTGCCTCAAACATAAATGTGTGTTGTCTGTGGAAAACATACTATACAATGCACTATGGAATATATTGGTTGATTATAACAATCCACCCAGAATCAGTAACCGTAAGACACAAAAATTGCTAGCAATCATATCAGCTGTTCATTATTTCTGTCCTGGGCTCGCTTTGCCAAAGATAATCTTCGTTAGCGTTTTGGTTAATAGATTCACTATGTTAGAAAGATGTATAACACCAAGATGTTACCAAAAAAAAAACCCAACAAAAAAACACCCCAAAAAAACCTGGCAACAGATACATCATAATATATAATGACTGCATTACATTGTTTCAAATCTGATGATAAAAAAGTGGTGTGAATTTTTTATTGTAATTAGTATTTTTTTCTAGAAAAGTAATAAAGTGAAGGGTGAAGTAAAGCTTAAAAGTTAATGAGCATCAACTGCAATTTTAGGAAAAGAACTAGGATAGATTATTGTCTGCATGATTATTCATGACCAGATTGGAGATTTTAATTACTAGATTTTAATGATGATAAAATTGCTCCTAATGAATCATATCATCACTACTTAGAGTGTGTCATCTCCTGACAAATCTAAAGAGCTTTGGAAAAGCGTCAAAAGCACACACAAGATGTACTTTTTAGGGGTTTGTGGGGAAGGGGAAAGGCGAGAAGGCCTAGTGGCACATTATTTAAAGCATACCGCTGCTCATTGAAAGGTACATGGTTCAAACCCAGCCGGCCCTCCGTAGCATAAAGCTCTTTGGAAGACTGACAGCCTAAGGGGCCTTCTACTCTGCCTCACAGTTTGGTATGAGTTAGCATAGACTCAACCAAGGTAAGCTGGAGTTGGTGGCCAAGTTAGGGTTCTAGATTTTATTCCAAGGATATGAATTTGGCCTTCCAGTTCATTTTGAGCTGAAAATTTGCTCTTCGCAAAACTTACAGTTAAAAATAATGTATACTGTTCAACGATTTAGACCCTCCCAGAAGAGCTGTGGGTGAGCATTAACATTACTGGTAAGTATATTCATTTTCTCCTGGACACAGAGCCTACTAATTGGTCCTAAAAGCCTTCTGAGGTCCCAACTCTTCTCACTATTTCTTAGTTGTTGGAATGGACAGAAAACCTCATAAGCAGTTCCTTACTTC